CTGCTTGTAAACGTGTGACAATCATCCGACAACGAAAATGGCTGACCCGATCTTTTTTTGATTGCTTTATTTTCACCCGATTTCTCAAAAATAAAACATATATTGTTCAAATTGTTGCATTTTTTACTTGAGTCATGCCATTTTCGAAGTAATTAGGGTATTTTATTTTGATAACTTGCTATACAAAAGTCGAAATTATGAATTTTCTAAACTGTTTGAAACCGTGAAAGTCAGCAGCTTACACCGGAAATGGCTGACCCGGTCTGTTTTAGATCACTGTATTTTCCCCGATTTCTCAAAATAAAAACATCTGTTGTTCAAATTATTGCGTTTACTAAATAATTTGAACATTTTAATTTGATTACATGCTTTAAAAAAAGTCGAAATTCTGAATTTTCTAAACTATTTGGAAACGTGTGATACTCAGTGGAAAACTCATTAACGTACAATTAGCATATTCATGACCATCGCTTCAGTAGTCACGCAGAGAAACTCACGCGTTTTGCGCGATTTCCCGAGTGCTGCCGACAGTACAAATAAACAGATAGTTGTTTATTTGTCAATAGGATTGTGAGATTATTTGGAGGATTATAACCCAGGTTAAAACAAAAGAAATGATGTAGTTGTCTGTTCCTTTCTTTCTAAGGTCTATGATTAAAGTTATCAATAATTGGAATCACATACACATACGAGGTAGAACAATAACATCCCATATTTTGTGGTTCAGTCAAATTTAAACTATAATTGCTCTACTTTTTGACAAATATGTTTGCACCAGGGGACAGTTGCAGACATTGAAAGTGACTGTTCTTTCATGGATTTGTTTTTATCATGTGCAAATTTCAAGCGCAAGTGTTGGCATTACAGATACACATAGTCTATGTTTGGGACTTCAGTCATTTTAGCAAATTTTCCTCAAGGTAATAATTAACGAAATTGAAATTTATCTAAAATGTCATCTTGAATTAGGAACATTCACAGGGTAGCAGTCTTAGCTAAAATAATATGCTAGTTAACCTTTTCATCACCAGACTTTTTCGCGCAAATTTGTCTACACTTTTTCTTATATTCTTCAATATTTCTGGAAATGAACCCTAATTTTGGAGCCAACAGACAAAATTTGAGTCAATTTCAGTTTTTAAGAAAAAAATTGGCTATTTCTGTCCCAATTTTTTGAAGGAAAATGCAGACTACATGTATAACCGGGACTATTTTGTGAATTTGTGATGAGGGAACTGGTAGTGAAAAAATAAATATTAAAAACTAATTTCCAGAAAAATAAATTCACAATCCATGTTTTTATGTTTGTGTTTGGTGTCACCAAATAAATAATGAATCTGTTTTCTCATAATTCTCTTTTGGTATTTGTTTCAAAGAATGTATTCATAAGCAGAACATTTCTCTTTCTCCCTCTCTCTCCCTCTCTCTCTGAGTTCAGTTTGGAGAGTAATCAAAGGCTAAACACACAGATCTGAACATCGCCCTCTACAGGCAAGGTTCCAATATATATTTTTTTTATTAATTTAATGCATCCACTGAAACATCCAATAAGATATAGAACATTCACAGCTACAGATGAATAATGAAAAACAACAACTATAGTTATAAAAGATATTGTCTTACATGAAGGGCGCCCTCAACTGTCTGCATGTACTTACTCTGAAGACCGACCCTTGACCCTTGGATATACTCACGACTGTAACAGGTTCAGACCTAAAAAACAACAGAAACAAATAAACAACAATTGAAACTTTTTCCAAAAATCCTTACTTGCTCAGAACAATGTAGTATGCTCTCTATATATTTTTTTCAATTCCTTAGTAGGAGGTATTAGAAATTACTGTACTTGTTATTGTGTTGCTTGTTTTTGTCCTAACAAGCTGTTAATTTGCATATAATTACCATATCGTCATTACAATCAACATGATTAGCATATCAATAACTTCTATTGTTTTTGTGTTTTTTTGGTGCTCCATGAATGAAAAATGAAAATTTTATTTCAAATAATGTTTAAATTTATCTCCATGGAGACAGATACATCATCAATTAGGCATCAATTAGGACAGGGTCTTTTATTTTCCAACCTGTTCAGGCCTGTTAATTAATGTACAGATAGTATTGGTAGCAAATAAATAAGATGGTATGTTCAGAAATTACATTTTTTAATTGATGTATAGTTTAAATGAACACTCACGCTTTCTTTTTTTTCCCAACACACATGGCAACTGCAACCAGCAACAATATCAGTCCACTGACTGCACCAATCACAGTGCCAGTTGAGACCCCATCACTACCAGCTGTATCAATCCACTGTAAGTCACTTGAAAGTAGTTTCCTTCCAATGGCATGGTTAACATCTAAATGAGTACAAGAAAAAACAAAACAGTTTGTAATTATGTGAATCTACGAATCTCAGCACGGGCTGAGAGTCGGACAGGGTCAGCATGTACCGAAATGTATGTGTGTGAATGGTCGGGACTGAGTCGACTCATGCTTAAAAACTGGACAGCTGAGATTGAAACTCGGCATGTGTCGACATTTGCTGTCTGAACACTTGACACAAATCAAAATCGTGCCCTCAGTGGTGAATTTAATAGAACATATAATGATTCATACTAATATGACAATTTCAAGCAGGGAAGTACAACTAGATATGGTCAAATGATATAGTAATGACTTAAACAAATGCAGAACGTTGTTGGTGACGCATATCTGTGTGCTGCTGCAACCAGTTTTTTCATGCAATGCTACATTGGCATGAAAGAACCCTGTTTTATGGATCCTTCTTTGTCGTTCATGATGTTTCATAATAAATACTGTAACACTGAATGGATATTTAAACAAGCAATTATTATTATCATTATATGCGAATTATCTGCCATATGTTTGGGTCAAATAACAGATCACCGATTCAGGATGGGATTCAACACTAGCCGAGTGAGTCCCGAGTGTAATCCCTCTGCAAACATGAAGGAACAGATTTCGGCATGTACCGAAATCTCGTAACGTCAACGTAGCAATACTTACCTCTTAGACTCATATCAAAACAGGAATGTATAACTTCACCAGAGGTCAAAGTGCATTCGACATCCACAATACCATTCTGTTGTGAAGCCTACATGAGAAAAAAAATGGATACTGTCTGATTTAGTTCGATTGCAAAAATAGTTAATGCTACATCGGTAACTTTGAAAACAACAGAGACGATTGACCAATCTTTACAAATTACAGTTCACCACACAAAATAATTGATTAAAGTGACAAAGAAATCTTTCTTGAAAATATGAAATCATGAGATGGATACAAATCACTAATTTTAATTGGCTTGTTGCCAATTCACAGTCAGCTGTAATTCTACTACATGTATGTAAACAAGTGTACTATAAAGAATACATTAAGTAGCGGTAATAATTACGAGTACATGTACTGTACAAGAATTTATAACACTGTTTGACAGATTGAGGTTACTCATATTCTGCATAGATTTGGAAAAAAACTCAAGATATTGTATTTGGTATATTATTACTGTATTTAAAGGGCAGTGGTCATCGCGCCATGTCCTGTTCGATACGTGGCGTGACGACTACCGCGCTTTAAAATGATGAATGCACTGATATAAATGACAAAGGTGTGTTTAGTCAAAATATATTTCATTACACATCTGACACTGTTAACAAATTGTATGGACGTGTTCAAAAGTGTTTGAATGTCTGCCTTTGAAAATGGTACATCACATGTTATGCCTTATTTCTGTGTTTACATCACATGCAGAGCCACTATCAGTATGTGATGGAAATAAAATTCTGTCCCAGATGTATAATAATAAGGTTATGATGAGAATACCGCAAAGTATGTACTCAGGCAGTATGGGAACTCATCAACCTCTGCTATTCCTGTAATACACGTAATGTCATGAGATTTGAATAACCCAGTATACAATAAAAGCAATTATATTGGAAATCTGCTTGTAATAGCAAATACCGTACAAATATCAAATGTGTGATGTGCATCACGATCTGTGATGTTTGTTGATTTAGAGGAAGATTTTTCAATCAATGTACAGTGAAACCTGTGTATAGTGACCACTCAAGGAATCTTAATATAATGTTGATATAGACAGGTGGTCTTTATATGGAGGTTAGAATATTTGTACATATGTCATAATATTTGTTCAGAAATAGTTAAATAGTACTTTTGCAACAAAAACACATTTATAAATGTATGGGGGGGATTGGCACGAGAGGGCGCTATCCAATCTGAATGGAACGTTTCGACGTCAGTCGCCCGTAGCCCATCGTCTAAGCAACAACGTCCCATTTACGAACAGATGAAATAATTTCAGCAATTTCTTTACAGATTAATCCTCAACAGAACTTAAAAACATTTCATAGACAAATACAGGCTCCAAAATTATGTCTATTGCAAAACAATTCAACAGACAACTAGTTTGACGCCACAATTGTATTGCTGGAGGCCGAGTTCTACGCGTGATTTTATTGCGTTCAATAAAAAATACTCAAAAAATACTTTTACATTATTTTCCCGATTATTTTTTCAGCTCGTAACGATAGTATCAGTCAATTTAGAACTAACATGTATGCTATCGGAAAGCATTTTGGAATTTTACTAAAAAGACGAGTTTTTAATCGCTCATGAATATTAATTTATGCAAATGAGATGATTATTTCAACCAATTGTGTCATGCAACTCCCCCCCTGTATGAGTTGATTAAAATCAAAGTTTTACCTGAGTAAATTGTTTGATAAGCAAAAAGCTCATCAACATTATTTACTAACATTGAAATGTTTTTGTTTTTGGTGATATGTTGTATATGCAATTTACCAATTAGAGGAAGAGATTGTTTGTTAGGGCGTATTTTATGAAAGAAACCATCTAGGTGTTAATACAGTTTGATCCCTATACTGATAACCTCCAAGTTACAACTAGAATTTAATCTTTTATATACCTGAAGTAGATACTAAACACAAATTCCCCTTTCTCTCTTGATTAATGATGGGTGTAACCGTGTAGGAGGTGAACTAGTAAAATTACAGATTATTTAAAATTGCTGGAAAAAAAAAATACCGGTCACTGGTAGCATAGTGGTTGTCCCATCAGACTCATGATCGGTAGACCCAAGTTCAAATCCTATCTTAGGCTGAACATCAAAGGGTTGACCCCTAACCCTGGGTGAGTGTGCCACAGATTCAATGGAAAAGCCAATTCCAATGGCCGAGATTCATTCACTAACGAATGCGACTTTGGGGAACCTTGGTTAAGGTCCGCAGGTGCTTGTGTTCTACCGAGCCTGACACCAGGATATCGCATTAAATGCCATTTGATAGGAAGATGGCCGCACAGCCATGTCATGTAGTCTCAAATATGAATACAGTATGACTTCTGTGGCAAAAATACACTGTGTCAGCACCTACCACTTGCAATTTGCACATACAAAAAAACAGTGACATTCAATGTCCGGAACTGTCGCCTGGCTAAAAATTTCTTGGTATTTTTGCTAAGTGAAAGGTTTCATCAAAATTGCTGAAAATGTTTCCATGGTAACAATTAGTTCCCCCCCCCCATCTTGTAAAATGTGCTTTCCCCAAATAGGTAAAATCCTATTTTGACTGGCATTTTTAATAGACCATTTCCTGTTTACTGCGAGGTCCTGCGTTATGCGTAAAAACAGGACACAGCAAAAGGGTCATAGCGTCGTAGTCGTGTCAAACATCGCATGGGATTCGACAAACGTGAAAGTATCGCGGGGAATATATTTCCATGCTTAATAATGTGCTGTACACATTCGATGCAGCAATCCTTGTACTGTATAATGTTGGTTTATGCTTGAAAATTTGAAACACAGTCACAAATTTTAGCAGCTATGCAAGCTTTGTATGATTAAAGACAGTGCATATCAATGTGAATCATTTTGTGTTATGTGAGCATTTGCGTTCATTTACCAGGATTTTATTTCTGTTATAGGGAAGAAATGTGTTAACTCAATATTGGATTTTGCAGAGAAATGTTGGATAGAAAATTGAACTATAGAGGGAAAAACTCAAAAACTCTTTTCCATACACCCCTGTGCTAACAATCAACTGTAAACCTCTTCTGTTTTCAAGCAATGCATTTTTTATTTAATTTGTATTGTTATATTGTTGGACATTCAAATAATTTCACGTTTTTACGTCTATGTAAATAATGAAAGTGTTTAATGTAACATTGAAGCGGAGGAGTCGTCACCTGCGCATGCATCAGATGGCCATAGCGTTTCATTGTTTACAAACAAGCGTCTCCCATGAGCCTTTGCATTTTTAACATGTGTTGTTATCGTGAATTGGGGTTCAATTCCCGACAACCCTCTCGCTTTATAACCTTGAATGCATCAATGATGGTGATGTACATTTATATATGGGAGATTTCGAATGTTCTAACAAAAGTGCCAATCCTCGGGGGGCGGAGCTACGTCACAAGACGTTCCATGTTGCTAAGATACGCACGACTATGCCATTCATTTCTATGAGCTCTGTTTACGCTTTTGTGGAACGCCGGTGGAGCCGGTGAAAATTTGAGAAAACAACACAAACTCAACTTTGAAGTAATCCTGAACAACCGAATTTATGTTACACACGCAGGGCTAATCTTGTTACACTGTTCAGGGGAGTCTCAACAGCCATCCCAAAGTATCGTTTTCTGAAAGTTTTCGGGCTTTTGTTTTCACCGTGATGGTTGCCAGGCGGAGAAAATGCCTGGATGTCTGCCCCAAGGATATGTTTTGGAATGAGTGTTGATTCAGCTTTTTAAGGTCCAACAACTTTTTTTGTTTTCAGTGCCAGATGTACACACATGTATATAAAACTAGGTTTATGGTGTACAGTCATAATATAACAGTTAAATAAAGTATTTTTATAACACACTATATAACTATATCTGATTCACATTCTTGTACAGTCATATTATAGGATTTTGTATTCACATTCCTAAAATAAAAGTTCACCACTGCGTTACAATCACATTATTGGCTGCTCTATAGAAATTCTTGGCTCGCAAGTCGGTAGAAATAATACACCGATTATTCATTTGAGCACCAAAGTTAACTTTAAACACCATTCACAGAATAGTTCAATTTACAGTCTGCTTTCCAAATTCAAAATTTTTGGATTGGAAACTAGAAACAATATCACATTTTGTCTGTTTGATCCAAAATTAAGATTGAATTCAGTGAAAATTACAGAAAATGTGAGCAAATTTCCCCCAATCTGAGCGAGAAATAAATTAGGCAACAACTGAATGACCAGCAATGGCTCACCTCAACGAGAAAACTTTTTAGTTTAAAGGCAGTCAAAGCTATTTCCGGAAATCAAACACTTTCAAAGAGCAAACAATATCATTTACCCAAGCACAGCGGGAGAATATACAAAACTGCAACACAATCCTCATACTCCCCAGAAAATGAAAACAAATATGTACACGGATGGTACAGTTGCCCAAGGGTACAGGACAGTGGAATTGGCCTTCCCATTGAGTCTGTGGCACACTCACCCAGGTAGGGGTCGACCCTTTTGATGTTCAGCCTAAGGTAGGATTTGAACTTGGGTCTACCGATCATGAGTCTGGAGCGACAACCACTATGCTACCAGTGACCGGTCTTGACCTTGACTTTTTTTATTGCGCAGTTGTACTGTTTATAAAAAAGAGAGAAACGTTTGTCAGGCCACAAGACTCCAATAATCGATTTATATTGTGTTCATGATAACCCTCAGAAGAATTAATGACCTCAGCTGGGCCTTAGTCTATTGCTACGTTTACGTTATGGGATCTCGGTACCTGCCAATTTTTTTTATCTTTCGTGTTTACAGAGGGATTACAGCAGTTGCATTCCCACTTGGGACACACTAGGCTTGTGCTGTAATCATGCATGTAATCATGCATGTAATCATGTAATCACATGTAATCATGCCCATATTCGCTGATCTGTTATTTGGCCCAAACATGGAAAACAATACGCCTATGTTGATGATAATAATAATTGCTATATTTTGAATTATATCCAAATTATATGTTTGGTATTTATTACGAGTCATCGTGCACATAAGCGGCAAAGAAGATTCGAAAAACTATTATTTTTTCATATCGTGTCATTGCAAGAAAAAAAAGTTAGCAGCAGCGCATAAATATGCATTGCTGACGATAGTTACCATTCATTTCTTTCATTACTACAGCATCTGAACATATCTAGCTGTACTTCCCGCCATCGTCATGTCATACAAGTATGAATCAGTGTATGTTCCATTAAATTCACTACAGAGGGTCTGATTTCGGTTTGTACCAAGCAAATCTTGGCACGTGCCATGTTTCGATCCTGAACATCTATCGGGATCAGTTCTGAGTCTCGGCACATGACGAGATCTCTAGCGTGAACACTACTAATAATTTCCTCTTGGGATCATCAAAATTAAATATGTTCATGTTACGAGATCTCTACTGTACCAAATATTTTCAATCCTTCATGTTGAATTCATGTTAATCAGGACAGCATAAGGACCCACTTAGGACCCACTGGGCTCGTTCAGAAATCACAATGTCATTCATTAATCTGTTGACCCAGACAAAACAGATTACACACATGCTCTGCACATGTTGCTGATGCTATTTTCTGTTGTAGTATTCATTATTAATCATCACAGCCAAAGATAAATTTGATTTTTCATGTCCATGTTAGCCCCACCAGCAGAAACCAATATGCAGCCTAAAATTGTATCACCAACAAAAGTGTTTTGCATTTACATGTATTTAGTTGTAAGGGGAAATTGATATTCAAGCCACAATATTAGTTTGTACAGTGCAGTAACATATAAGGAGAACTTATTTGTGGATACTGTAGTTTGACCAACATAGGGAAACCTAACTATCAAAGAAAACATCAAGAATCAATACATATTCATTAAAGTATAGCGCCGATAGTGTGATTTCTGCTCAGGATGAACATTCAGACAGCCAATCTCAGCACATGCTGAGTTTTGATCATGACTCTCTATTAGATTCGAGATTTGAGTATTTTTTTTGGCATGTGCTGACTGTTAATACACACATTTTGGCTCATGCCTACCTATTCCCGAAGCCTGACATGTGTCAATATCTCTAAATGAAGGCATATTACTGACCTTCACTTTGGTAACTTAACAGTATAGCGTGATTAGGAAAGCAACATATTGCTATATAGTTATAGAGAATGTTATTATTAAGTATATTTGTATGTTTTCCCTTTTACCTGTACAACAGTCACTTTAAGTAACAGTGACTGTACTAGTACACACCCTTGAGGCGTCCACGCCCTATTATTGACCCAACTTAGTTCCGTGGTTGTCTTAGTTGTCCCCCGGCTTGGGCGTTACAGGGGTGACTTACCGTATGTATACCGTCCATCATGAGACGGCATAATTTCAGATTTGTTAACTCCTTTCCTTTATAGAAGACAGATTTCGTTGTTTCATCACTTTCATCGGTCTTGGATCCGACCCAAATATCACAAAGACCAGAGTTTGTTTTCATTACTTGCAAGTCAGTTGGGACGACCCCACGACCGAGCACCAACGGCAGGCAGTTTGCGGAGCCAAACCAGCAAAGAAATAAGAATAATACATCTAATACCATTGTCCACACTGTCATGTTTGGCTACGAAATTCCTGCCATGCGAATGCACGCGTATATGAACAGGAACTTGTACAGAAAACAGACGATCACGGCAACCAGGAAATGCTTTGAATTAGCGATCAGCCATTTTTAATAATTTATTGGGAAATCCCCGACAGAGGGCGTTCAGGTCGCGGGTTGCAAGACTTTTTTATAGGGAGAGTGGACGATGACCGGAGGTTAAAAGAGACAACATTAATAGCGCCACATTATTTTTATTCCATTCATTGTCATTTTTTTCTCCCTATCGAATAAAAAATGAGCTTTCTGAGCATCGATCAGACGCGAATCCAATCGACCCTAATCATTTGTAACATCGTACTAAAACATCGCACGCATTGTAGGTTGAAACACAGGCGCTGGGTTGAAACATAAACTATGAGTACATGATCAAAACTGAAATAGCAAAGCCGACTGCCACGTTTCAGTTGAACCAGTCACAGTCCATCTATAGAGGGATAAAGGGACTGTGAACCAGCTAAGAAGTAATTTGTATCGTCTCAGTCCCGAATCTGAAATATGACCAGTAGTATCTTCGATCTTCTTCACCGTCATCATCTGGTTCCGTCGAGTTGAAGATTGGATCACAGTTCTTCTATACAATGGCAATAAAACGTTCTATGCATATAGTCTTAACGTTATCCTCTCCGCGTTTGTTTACTGAGTCCCCCCCCCTTTTCCTAATAATGTTACCATCTATCCGTGCCCAAAATGTGCATTTTTCTTTTTCATGAAAGATATTTATATTTCGTAATTACTCTTCGTTTCATGAAAGCATGGACGACGTTGTGGAAATTTATAAAATGTTTATAAAATATATTTTTTTTTAATCCAAAGAAGACACTGACTGCAATGCACGCGAAAGATATTCTAGGTGACATACTTTCGTTAAAGGCGTTATGGTTGAAAACTTATAAAAACTGTCTCAGTACATTATACACTGGCATTATTATTTATGTCTTTATGTAACGGAGTGTATTTGATGTGTGTAAGACTTCCTTCGCTGGAAAACCACTGGCATAATACTCCATTTGAAAATCATTGTTTTGTACACTCACTCTATATATAAGCGATGATTGGTCTACATAAAAGTTACGAAAGTTGTAATCCTGCGATGTCTTGGCAAAGCTCCGCGCGAGTCCGTCGACCACACACAGACAACATATACTACATGGGTGAACGAAAGAGAAACATTTATCAAAACATTAACTGTCTGCAAATTTAATAACGAAAAAAACTATATAAAAAACCCACTAATAATCCGGTCTTCAACTCCGATGATAATATATTGAAACAAGTTTGTTTCACTATCTATCCAGGCTTAACTATTGACAAGCATTTTTTTTGGAAAATGTTATTTTAAAAATGTTACTAAAAAAATTAATCCACTTATTAATCTGATTGCTAAACTATGGCACTGTCTTTCTAAAGCTACGAGTCACTTGTTCTTCTCAATAACTCACTAATACTTCCACATATTCACATACATGTAGTTTTAAAACCTTGTGCAGCACCCATTACACCTCTCTCAATCCTCTGTATACAACAAAAAAAGCAAGTTCGCATATTAATCAATTTCAAAGACAGATTGGCTCACGGTGCGCCACTATTCATCTTTCTCTGCATTCTTGACATTTTTGAACAATTTAAATATTAACTTGGCACTTTTATGCACGGCATAATGCTTTGCAAAACTCCAAGTAAGTTACAAGATTACTCTTTTTCTTTGTCTAATATAACCATAATCCCCCTCCCCACAAGTTCATCAGTGTGGTCTAAGTAGTCCGTCCATCTAAAGAAAACAAAGAAATCGCTCCACCTTCAAGCACAAATTAAAAAAATATATATATTTAATGTCTTTCCGATTGTTATCCTTATTTATCACTTAAATCTTTTGTATTTTTAGAATATTACGTTTTTATTTTGCCCACTAGCTATGATTGTTATTATTTGTTGTTGTCGTTTCACCATTGTATTATTTTGATGTTGTTACGAGGAATTGAGCATGCATTTGTTTTCAAACTTAGACTCGACTAAATTAATAAAGTTAACTTATACTTCCCAGCCATATCAGCATTATACTAGTATTACATTTCTGTAATAATTGTATTTAAATTATGTACATATGGTAATAAATTGTAAAATTGTAAATCTGTCGCGGTCTGGATGAGTATAGTTACGCATATTCTCATATATGCTTCCCTGAATTCGTTATATATTGCGGGCAATAAAGCGAAAAATATTTTCCCTCCACAAGATCTTAGATCATAGCGACGTATACAACGCGTGTAAAATACATTGTTTATTTACATGAAAAGTTCCGTCGAACACGCGCTGCACGACGACCACTGCGCTTTAAACAAATCTACAACAGCGCTGACCTGCATGTTTATGTTGTCTCCTTCAATTCAGTATCGATATTCAACGCATACGTTGAAAATGGTTCAGGGCGTCGTCATGTGTTGAACTGATTGAAAGTGTCGAAGCCGAAACAAACCTCTAAGAATATTGGGATTTTCTCATTTTCTAATAATAATTATTTGTTGTTATTCTTTTAAACTGTTCATTTATTTTTTTCTATACCCACTTAAACACCCAAGTGTCCCCCAAAACCGTGACTGTCTTTTAGAAAACACCATTAGTGTGAAGTAAGAACTTGGTGCGACCCATCATCAAACACAAGTCTTACTGGATTTTATAGTTTATTCGTGGTTGACAAAATAACAATGACCGACAACAAGAAATCCACTTATCACAAGCTGCTAGTAGTATACATGTATACATGTAATATAGTTGCATTTCACAAATGTTGTCATAGCGGGTGTAGTTGGGGTGGGGTGTATGCTGGATCTCCCATCTAATTCTGGCTCTCAACTTGAAATAGATGAAATCTCAAATGTGTGAACTGTCTCCAATGTGTCCTTTTCCGAGATGCATGATTCCTAGCCTGACAAGTTGGTGTGAG